TCCCCTCTCCCGATGTGGCTAATCTACATGCCTCCGTCGACGGAGGCATGGAGTCTGGACACAGCCTTAGACTTGCTGTATTTAATTCATTCACGCTTCATGTTTGCAATACAGTAGCCTTTTCATGTCAGGTAAGATGCTCTTCTTGCATGGTCCTACTGTCCTAGGGAATTTGACAGATCCCTGTTCAATCCAACCCACTGCCCGATGGGTAATACTTTCTAAACATTGTGCACACTCCCCCCCACACTTTTTATGATGAAGCCTTAGACTTGCTGTATTTAATTCATTCACGCTTCATGTTTGCAATACAGTAGCCTTTTCATGTCAGGTAAGATGCTCTTCTTGCATGGTCCTACTGTCCTAGGGAATTTGACAGATCCCTGTTCAATCCAACCCACTGCCCGATGGGTAATACTTTCTAAACATTGTGCACACTCCCCCCCACACTTTTTATGATGAAGCAGAACACCACAATTAGCCTTTCATGAGCTTAGGCTACGTCTACACTGCAGCGCTATTTTGGGATACTTCCAGTATCCCAAAATAGTTATTCCACGTTTTGACTGCACACCTGTTATTTCAAAATATCCGACATTCCTGTAAACCTCATTCCATGAGGATTAAGGGACATTTCAGAATGGTGGTTTATTTCAAAATTTGGCACTGTGTAGACAGCATCAAATGGCAAAACAAGCTATTTCGAAATACACTCAAAATAAGCTATTCAATTTGTGTCGCTCAAATGGTGTAGCTTATTTCGAGCTAAGGGTGTAATGTAGACACACCCTTATTGTCCCTAGAGCCACTAAGACACATTGTGTAGGATTTCCATGGTGCAAAATTGCCTTAGAATAGTCTGCTTTTGGACAGTCTCTTCCCTCTTCTTGCACCAAGGTCAATCTCCACTGCTTTCTATGACAGCCACCTCTTCCCCTCCTCCTCCCAGTGTAAGCAGAGGAAGGGATCATGTTGTGGTGTTCTGAGGCAGAGAGCAGGTGGGACGGGGTGGGGTGGAGAGGAACTCCAGTGCATCTGATCGTCAGCTAACGTGGGTTTCATTGTGGGCCTTATGTCAGCAGTGGAAATTAAGAGTATACCTACTACTGCTGATCAGGAAGCCACAACTATTTCCTGCTTGGACCTATCCCAGTGTTTCTCAACCTTTTTTTTATAAAGTACCCCTGTAAAAAAATTATACAGTGCCTACAGTTTTCTCACACACCTTTTTCTTCTACCATTGCAACACATTTGTTTAAACAACTTAATCATAGCCAGGCGGGCAATGAAATGTTTGGGTGTAAAAAGTACAAAAATAATAAAGCGCTGTAAAACTTTAAAAAAAATCAGTTTTCTCCAAATTTCAGTTGTGTTGACATATCCCCCAGACATCTCTCGAGTACCCCTAAGGGCACTCATACCACTGGTTGAGAAACTCTGCCCACTGGGTAGAAATGGGGCTAAGGACGCATGATCTGCTATGCTAGCAAATAATCTCACTGTCTTAATTTGGCTGACGTTTTGTCAGCAGTGACAGACAGACAACAGAACCGCCTTCAGGTCCATTCCTGGGCACAATGTGTGGCAGAAAGGGTGTCACTGCTTTTAGTTGTTACCTCTTTCCACACATGGGCTATGTCTAGATTGCATCCCTTTTTCGTAAAAGGGATGCAAATTAGACGTATCGCAATTGCTAATGAAGCGGGGATTTAAATCTCCCCCGCTTCATTAGCATAAAAATGGCTGTCGCTTTTTTTTGGCACGGAGCTTTGCTGGAAAAAAGCGCCAGTCTAGACGCGGATCTTTCGGAAAATAAAGCCTTTTCCGAAAGATCCCTTATCCCTTATTTTACTGGAGGGCAGGGTACATCTGTGGCAACACTACCGCTGGTTAACTGCTACCACAAAGCCTTTTCTTAAACACCAGGTTTCCCTTCTTGCAAAGCGAGGAAACACGATGTGAGCTGACTTCATAGCATACCAAAATAGCCACAAATAAAACTTTCATTGATAAAGCTAATCAAAACTTTTAAAAGCAAATCTCAGATACAGATGGGTCAAATTCATTCTAGGTGTAGTAAACCCGTTGATTTTGAACTTACCGGAGGGGTGAATTTGATCTACTGCTTTTGTCAATAAAATTCTAGGGTAAAAGGGACTCTATATAGAGCCAGACCTAGATGTAATTGCTAGTTAATCAGCCAATTAACTGACCCAACAAGGAGAGGGAAGTGGGAGGCGGGGGTGGGGGGAAATCAGTCAAGGTACGGTAGAGAGTAATTCTTTAGGGGTTAATGTTAGAAACCCTTTCAAAGGGATTATGTCTTACCTTGACTGATTTCCTTTTTCTTTCCTTTCTCTCTTCTTTCCAATTTGTAATTGTTGGTTCCCCTAATTGGCCCATGAACTGCTTATTACAGGCAGACCTGGAGGTATGCAGGATCTCTTTAAGCCTGGAACCTTACTTAACTTACTGAAGCTATGCTGAACATGGCAGTGTTTATATAGCTCATTTGTTTCACGCATTTGAATTTGATCTGTTGGAATTCAAGCTGCATTTACGTTTTAGAGGAGTCTGGTTTAGGACAGCTGCTATGTTATTTCACTAGAAAGAAAAGGGGCAGGGACTTTTTAAGTTTCACATATTGTCATGTAAAGAGTAGCAAACGTGATTTTTGTATAACCTGAAATTACAGTCTTAATTCTAAATGCAACCCTGTTCAGAATCAGCACTGTAAATGAACAAGTATTTCTTGAACTGGAGTTTACATCCCCCCAGTACTATTGTAATAAAACCAAACAACAGATCAACAAAGGTGCCTGGAAATATACTAGAACAAACTTAACCAATCAATTTGTAAGCACACAGAGGATAATAGGATTATAATGAGTAGCCAGCACGGATTTGTCAAGAACAAACCAGTCTAATTTCCTTCTTTGACAGGGTGTCACGGGGTATGACTCACCGTTGTGGTGCCTCCTGCTGGTAGTTCTGGGGAATTAGTCCTTTCTCAGCAGGGCATCTCCTTTTGGTGGTGTCTCACCCATCTGCAGTCCACGCTCATGTTCGAGACCCACACTACTCTTCATGGCATCCTCTTCAGGACGCTGCCCTCTGGCACGGCCCACTCCAATGGGATCTCATCCATCTTCTGGAGGTTATCAGCAGTCCTTTCTCTAGCGCCTGTCACTGTGGCCAACTACAGCCTCAGTCTAGCCTCTCACTTCTGAGGCAAGCCACAGTCCTTCCAAGTGACACAATGGTGGCTAGACACCATGCAGGGGGAAAAGGGAGGGACCCAGACCCACCCACTACTGTGGGTCCCAACTCAGGGACCCTCTGGCAACAGCCTTATTCTGCCCTCCTCTACTCCTCTCCACTGCCTCCTGTTCCCTGGACTACTTCCCCTGTGACCCTTTGCACCTTCTTGGCTCTTGTAGCAAGCCCAGCAGCCTCTCTCTAGCACCCCGAGCCTGCCCAGCACTGCTCTCCCGAAGTGCTTTTCTAGGAATCAGGTCCTGCATCTTCCCTGCTCAGGGCCTGACTGCGGCCTCTCTGCTGAGCAGCTCCTTATATACAAGGCTACCCCAGCAAGCTACACCCTGATTGGCTCCGTGAGAGCCTCTCCCTCATTGGCCAGGACTCTGAGCAGGCTCCCTCCTGCCAGCTTTAACCTCTTCCCTACTGGATGCAGGGGGAAGCAGTAGACCTGATATAACTTGATGTTAGTATGACTTTTGACACAGTCCTCCATGGCATTCTCCCAGGCACACTAGGGAAATGTGGTCTAAAAGACATTACTATAAGTTTGGTACACATCTTGTCCGAGAATTATACTCAAAGAATAGTTATCAATTGTAGACTGTCAAACTAGTAGGGCACACCTAGTGGGGTCTCGCATGGGTCACTCCTGGGTCCAGCATGCTTCTGTATTTTAATAAACGATTTAGATAATGGAA